TATATATATATATATATATATTAAAAATTCTTTATTAATATAGACACCCATATTAATATAATATAGAACCTTTCTAGAAGCAACATTATAAATAGATTTAGGTGCCTTCTGACTCGGCCTGCAAACCTCTAGAAAAATTGCATTGTACTCTTAATTAATTTGGGCATTTACATAAAGATCACATCTTATATATTTACTTACTGAACTTTGATATTCACGCACACCACTTAAATATTTAATATCACATGAAGAAATGACATTATCATTTTCTTCTTAAAATTTATGATATTGAGTAAAATCAATTTTCCATTTTTATTTTTTTCCATAGAAAATTTAAATACCTAAATATTTTAAATATATAGCCAAGCTCTCTCCTTGATTTTTTTCTCTTTGTACTGACAAGGAGATGCGGCCGTCCATCTGTTTTCTTCCAGAAGGGGTTGCTCATCCGCCAGCTATGATGGGACCTGAACAATTTTGCACGATATAAAGCATGTATTACCCCGCAATCATTAATCCACACAGCCCATCAGCCATTAATCCACACAACCATGGGATCTGAAGCCACCCAACTTCATCTTCTTTTCTTCCCTTTCATGGCGCCAGGCCACATCCTCCCCATGGCCGACATAGCCAAGCTCTTCGCAGCCCGCGGCGCTCGAATCACCATTCTCACCACCCTTGTTAACGCAGCCTTGATCCGCCCCACCATCGACGACTCCATCCATCTCCACATCATCCCCTTCCCCTACGCCGAATTCGGCCTCCCCAAGGGCTGCGAGAGCCGCTCCTCCATGCTGTCCGATGAACAACGCTCCAACTTCTTCCGAGCCATCGCCTCACTCCGCCACTCTTTTGACTCCCTGCTCCAAGCTCTGCACCCTGATTGCGTCCTCACAGACATATTCTTTCCATGGACATACCATGTCGCCGCCGCCAGAGGTATTCCGCGGCTCGTCTTCCACGGCACCAGCAATTTTGCGCTTTGCGCCACCCATGTTTTAGACCCGCGCCTATTAGCCGATAAAGGCGACTCCTTTGTCCTCCCGGGCCTCCCTCACCGAATAGAGATGTTGAAAACTGAATTCATGGAGTCACAAAAATTAGAAGGAACGCCGTTGGTTTTTTTCTTGGAGACACTAAAAGAGGCGGTGGAGGTGGAAACGAAAAACTATGGCGCAGTGATGAACAGCTTCCATCAGCTGGAGCCTGAATATGTGGACCAATATCGCAAGTTCGTGGGGAGGACGTGGAATATCGGCCCTATTTCTCTCTGCAACAAGGAGGTGGCGGAAAAGTCATCAAGGGGTGGGGAGCATCCGGAGTTAGCAGACCAGTGCTTGAAATGGCTTGAAAACAGAGCAGCAGGCTCGGTCGTGTATATGTGCTTTGGAAGCGAGAGTCTTTTCTCTGGGGAGCAGCTAAGAGAAATGGCGGCAGGGTTGGAAGCGGCGGGGCATCCGTTTGTTTGGGTGGTGCGAAACGAGGGTGATGGTTGTGTTCCGGAAGGGTATGAGGCGAGGGTTGAAGGGCAGGGGATGGTGATAAGAGGATGGGCGCCGCAGCTGTTGATATTGAATCATGGCTCGGTTGGGGGATTTGTGACTCATTGCGGGTGGAATTCGAGTTTGGAGGGGATTTGTGCAGGGTTGCCGATGGCGACATGGCCGTTGTGTGCGGAGCAGTTCTACAATGAGAAGCTTTTGGTGGAGGTGTTGAAGGTCGGGGTGGAGGTGGGGTCAAAGGTGTGGACTTGTGATGCGGAGGCGAGGATGGTGGTGAAGGCTGATGCGATTGAGGCGGCGGTGAGGGGGTTGATGGGGGGAGGGGAGGAGGCTGAGGAGAGGAGGAGGAGGGCGAAGGAGCTTGGGGAGATGGCAAAGACAGCTGTGGAGAAGAACGGGTCGTCCTTTGAGGAGATTGGGAAATTGTTGGGCGAGTTGATTGAGCTAAAGAAGCTCAAGTAGAAATGACTGTGTTTTATTGTTTCTAAATCGTTATAATGGTTTAAATGAGAGCTTTTTAAATTTGAAAGATTTACATACATCTTGCTTCATACCGCTTAATTCTTTTGTATTTGCTTATCAATCATCTAAATTATATATATCATGCATGAAAAAAAAAACATCTTTTTACTTTTTAAAAATTAAAAATTATGATATTTTTGTAGAATAAAAAAAGAGTTTGATAGTCTAATTATAAAAATTAAAATTTAGGTGTTTGATATATGAATAAATAGGAATTAGTTGGTATGTATATAAATCCCGCAATTGATTGTTGGGGTGGAAGTCTTTTACCTCTATTAGGGCTTCGATCCAATTAGAAATTATAATCACACTGTGGAATAGGATCACACTGATTTGACAAAATTGAAATAAGATATTCGGACGAAATCACAACAAAAATAATCTAGAAGAATACACCTGGATTTAACGTTGGAAAAATCTAAGAATTAGAAAAAAAACCATAGAGTCATACTACCAATGGAATTATAATATGAAAATTCAGTAAGTATAAAATACTTGATTAGATCTCGTCTCTACAATCCATGCAACAGACATGACTTCGCTCCAAACCCTTCCATTTGATCTCTCTAGAGAAAGCAAGCTAAATCCTCATCTCTGACACTTCTCTTCTTCATGAGAATTTATGTAGGGTCTTCTAAATATATTTTGCCTAAGACAACTTTAACGTACCTGAACTCATGTCCCTGCTGACTCTCTTCCCTAGAATTTTTCTGGTTGGACCTAAATTCTTTATTCTCTAAATGTAAGGGCTTCATTATTTCATTGATAAGATAAATAGTGCATTCATATTGTCTCGGGCCATCTCCATTGGCCTTGGGTCACCTTCAACGAATTACCTGTGAAAGTAGTCACGAAGCCTAATTTTGCCTACTGGCTCGCAAAGGTGAGATTTCTCTTCAGACTATGAACATGCCTAACTTTAGTAAGCTTCCATACTATTTTATTTGAAATTCTGATATCCACATCACCCCTTTCTACGATATTGCAGGTCTTGTTATCTCTCAGATTAACATTATTTGGATCACTCTAAGTGTAACTTTTCAATACCACTTTATTGGGACATGTGTGAAATTAAACATATGAATCTAGTATCCAAACTTCGATTCTGATTAGGGATAACACAAGTGAGTCACTTTGAATTTAAACTGTAGAGACATTTGTAGAGAGACTTCTTTCTTGTACTCTACTACCAACTTTCCTTGAAGCTTTACAGTATTTCATGAAGTGTTATTTCTTTATGTAGTTCTTACATTTTCCTCTATCATTTTCTCTACTTGATTAGTATTTTTCTTTTTTGGACTTGAATATGTCTCTGCCTATAAGTCTATCCAAATTCGTTTGTTTACTTTACACATCCAACGCAAAACCTAAATTTTCTTCATTCATTAACTTCATGTGAACTTATTTATTCAACATCAATCCCACAATGTCATCAAAGTTCAACTATATATTCCTAGAAAAGGTAACTCACCGATGTGACCAAATCATCCCAACTGTCAAATAATGAAGATAATATCAACAGCTTTTTAATATCATCATCAATTGAACTCCAAAAAATACAAATGACTCATTACAGTGTTGAAATTATTTATATGTTTTGTCGTTGAATTGTCTTCCACCATCTTTATGTTGAAAAAACTATTCATCAGAAAAATCTTATTTGAAATAGAATATTTTACATGTATCTTTATTAGTGCCGCCATGAGATCCACTATACTTAACAAACGAGGAAATTGATAAACAGATCAAACCTAGGGTTGTTCGATCTAGCACCTCTCATTTTTCCATAGTTATGTACCCGAGCTTGTTGGCGATACCTTGCAGTGGCAAATACATTTTTTAAGGATACAACAAATCATCTACTTGCATCGTCCAAAACATGAAGTTCTTTCCGTTAAATCTACTTGCATCGTCCAAAACATGAAGTTCTTTCCATTAACCACTTTGTAACTTGCTTCATCGGTGATTGCTCCCACCCAAATCAAACACTCCGATCAGACACCACTTTGTTGGGATGGAAATCATATACTTCTACTTAGGCTTAATTCCAATTAGAAATCAAAAGCACACAACAGAATATGCACATAAGAAAGCACAACAAAAACAATCCAAAAATACACGGGATTTAACGTGAAAAATCTTCAAAATGGGAAAAAAATCACGAAGTCATACATCCAAGAAATGTCCACTATGAAAATTCAGAAAATTACATAATACTCACTCATATCTCCCTCTACAATTGATGGAACTTACAGAACTTCCCTCCACATCTTTTTTCTCATAAGAGAAAAACACATTTAAATTCTCCTCTCGGACACTTCTCTTCTTCACGAGAATCATTATCAAAAGAACCGCACACAAGAGTCTACAACTTTGTAGTTCTAATGAAGGATTTGAACCAAAATGGAAGAGATACAACACCGGGTATGCCCGCACCACTCTTTGGCATGAGAATATCATACCCTATGTAACCGGAAGCATATGTGTCTAATAAACAGTGCGAGGGTGCACCCATTTGGGCGCGGGGCTCCGAGCCTTCTGTTCAGACGCAGGTGTTCACACTCAAATTACCTTTGCTGGTTGTCTGACTTTCTTATGGTTGTGGGTGCTCTTTCCGGCACCACACCCAAACAATATTCACCATTTCTTCTTTAACCTTTTAGAATATTTGAACCAAATGAACTAAATATAATAATTTTTATAAAAATTGAATTTTATGCCCGATAAATATTTTTATGCTAAAATGTCCCCTTCTAGTATTACTTTTTAATTGTTTTTTTTTTTTTTTGGTTAGTGTCATTTTTTTTTGTCTGAAAATATTTAAAAAGCTGCTCTTTTTTCATCTGTTGTCGGAAAAAACTCAGTCGCTTTAAGAAAATAAAATAATCGGTATGAATGAAAACAAAAATAAAAAGTGTACAGCATTACCCAAAAAAGTCTTTACTTTTGAGATAAAAAATTCCTTTAGACAAAAAGTCAACTAACCTCTTAATATATAGCATGATGATAGACCGCTAATCCACACTTGAAGGATTTCTGGAGGCATTTGAGAGGTCAAATAGATGTCTAATCTAGCGATGTCAAAGTCGAAGCGAGCGTCACGACAATACGAATCCAACGAGCATAGCATAGGATTGCTCAATTCCGACATCGTTAAGGCACTCAAATGTTCATCAAACATCATCTGATCGAGGGAAATTTTTTTAACCGTCCGATAAAAATGGTTCGTATTCCTGAATTAATTGCGCCCAAAACACTATGAATAGAGCCTCACCCCTTACATGAAAGAGGGGATTGAGAGAGAACTTGAGGCTTTGAGAAGGAGTTCAAGTCCAACACCATCTCTGCCATCGTCGATCGCCGTCAACCACCACCAACCGTCGCAACCACTGCCGGTCGTCGTTGACCACCGTCGATCACCTTTGACCTCCGTCGACCACCAGCAACCACCGTCGACCTTCATCGACCATAGCCGACCGTCGTCCTTCGTCAACCAGTGTCGACCTTCATCGACCATCGCTCATCGTTGTCGACCACCGTCGACTTCCGTTGACCCCCGCCATCTAAACTCGATCACCACCAATCATCATTAATCACCACCAACCAGACGCCGTCAGTCGACGTAGTATTATGAAAATCTAATAACATTTTCCCGTCTGTAGAATAAGGGAATTCTGTAATCATCAATCACTAGTAAATTTTCGCAATTGGGTCAAACCCCGTGGTTTTTTTCCTTTCCGGGTTTTTCACGTAAAAGTTTCTGGAGTCATCACTGTTTATTTCTCTTTCATCTGTGTGCGTGCTGAATTCTCGTACAACATTAAGACAATAATCTGTTACTCTACCACCGCGAATTTTCCAGCACACATCACATGACATGGTCATGTATCTAATTGATTTTCAAAATTCTCACCCAATTTTCAAAATTCATGATAAAACCTCAATCCATATTTTTCATTTTTATCAAATTCTCAATAGTTTTACATCGATTTGATAGTTAATAAAAAATCACCTGGGCGGTTTATTTGTAAATATCAATATCTCATGTAACATGTACGTAAAGATCCAAAATAACAAGTTTAGATCGAAAAAAATAAGCTCTAAATCTTTCTTCTCTCCACACAATTCCTCCTTAATAAGCTCTAAATCTTCTCCTCTAATATATGTAAAAAACATTACATGTATTGCATGTGATCTACAGGGGTGACCGCACGTGTGTATCAACACCCTTCTACGTATATACTAAGAGCGAACTTAACATTTGCTCATAAATATGTCCCTATTAGAACAATGTGTTATTGACATAGCCATGTATGGTTGATGGCCAAGAAAATCCCCAAAATTAGGTCCTTGGCATAATGGTCTAGCTTTTTTCATTTATATGCAATTTTATTGTTTATTTCTACACTTCATAGAATTTTATTCAAACTTTTTTTGTGGGAAATTTATATCACAAATATTTTTCTTAAGAAAAAAAATTTATGTCTAAATTACTATAGAAATATGACAAATTTAAGCACTACCTATATATACATGTATAAGTAGCTATGGTTCTCCTCTCTTGATCAATCTATTTCTTTGATATTGGACTCACCTTGATCATCCTCTACCTCTCCAGACGACGCCTCTAGCTCCTTGCTTGTGCTCCCTTAGCTTAGGTCCGAAGTTGTTAAGAGGAAGAATATGTTTATATTAGTAATAACTCATGTATAATGTCTTTTCCGCCTCTGACTACATTTACAAGTTTGTCGTGTTGTTTGTCTGTATATACAGGCCTGTAATCTGTCTCTAAAATATATAAAAAAAGATTTTTAAATAAGCTTTTACTCATCTTCTCTCCCGGCTTAACCTTTGTCTCGTTTTCTACTGCTCTCTATTATATATTCTCCTTTCCTCGGTCTTTATCTACTCTCGCACAGCTTAACAACCAACATAGAATCAAGTTCCTCAACATCAACACACGCCAACCAACAACTTGTGTCTTTTCAAAAGATAAAGGAGATTGACATTCCCACGTCTTTAAAACAGATCAACGACCCACACTAAGAATATGACCAACACATCATTGACAGAAAAAAAAAGCTATAATGTGTGGAAAGTTCTCATTTCTAAATTACGTATTGCTAATGTCTTTGAATCTTTCTTAGACAACACAATCCCTCCCCCTCCAAGATTCATTCAAGATGACATAAGAACCCCCACTAAAAACCAAGTTTATTTTCTTTGACAACTCATCAATAGCAATCAAGCAGCTGCAATATTTTCAAACAATTTTTTATCTTCAACATAATCTCAGTCTTCATGAGATTATGAAGACAAGCTATGTCAGTTGAATTTATGATTCTTCAACAACAAGGTACTTGGACTCTTCTTCTGCTTATCGATAATCAAAATATTTTTGGAATTAAATAGAATTTTAAAATTAAATATCATGCTATTGGTTCCATAGACAAAAATAAAGCTCGGTTAGTTGCTCAATATTTTAAAGCACACTCAACAAACAATTTAACTTGAAGCAATTAGGCTCAATTGTAAAAAATTCTAAATACCATATTCGATTTACAAAATTAGTTTTTAAATCGATTAGCGGAAACAAGATAGGATC